AGGGAGGACTGGGCCTCCCTTCTGAAGCTGCTGCCCCCGCGACCCGACCCCGGATAGGTGGAAGAAAATGGATGGATGGATGGATTATTTCTTGTTTAAAAAAGTTAATTATAAGTTTAGTTTATAAGAAAATGATTTGGCTGGATCGAACTGTCTCTCATTAGGACTTTTGAAAACTTATTTCAGCATCTTTAMAGAAGAAAACAGGCATCAAAGTTGTGATGTTAACAAGTGAGCCACACAGGAAGTGGTTTTTAACTTCTGTCAAAGGGATTCTTCTTAATAAAACTCGTTAAATAGCGGAAGACAAAATTAAAAACTTTGTCATAGTTTCCTCTTTATTTATTTATCGTATTTCTAGCCTCCTAAGTGAATTAAAAGTAACAAAAGTATATTAAAAGGTGGAGGATTTGGAGTTTTCAATGTTAATATTATTTCAATTTTGCTGCTTACCCAAAGACCCTCCACAAACAATCCAGCGTCTAAATCCCGTCATTTAGTCCGGAGTTGAGCTGGAGCTTCACTTCAGTATCTCTTTAACATTTCCTTCCTCTGGTTTTGCTCGAACCTGGTGCTCCTGACTGAACTAAACAGGATAAACTCATCGAGTGAAGCTGAGCTTCTCTTTAAGACGAATGTTTGAGCTGACATCACTCTTCCTCTTCAAGCTTTCATTGGACTGAAGGCATTGATGTTATCTGCCTCAGCAGCTCGTAGAGGAAGCAATTTTAGTATCATGATTAAACCTGCAGCTATTTCCTCTAACTGAGCTCAGAGTCATGCTGATGTCAGAAGAAGAGCTGGTCTCAGAAACACATACAGTATTTTATAAGAAATGAAACTCCATCAGATAAGACATTTATATTCTATACAGCATCTCTTCTTTTACAGAATCTGTTGTATTTCTGGTGTGTGTTTATTGACCTGTGTCGAGATCGGTGAGGTTCTGCATGCTGAGGTTGGACAAGCAGCTGCTGACACGGTTTCTGATCCACGTCATGGGCTGAGAAACATACACATTAATTAATTCACTTTTAAGCTGCCCCAATTCCGGAGGATTGATGTGGAGTGAGATCTGAGGAGGTCTGAGCATCAGTGGGGAGTTACCTCGTCCTCCTGGGAAATGAGGATTTGTCCGTCTTCGAGGACACAGTTGCAGATGTCCCATATTGGGACCTCCTGAGGCGGGGCCCATTGTAGTCGTGGAAGTTCAGTGGGTGTAGCTGGCGTCACTTCAGCCTCTCCCACGTCTGACAGACACACACACACACACACACAAACACACACACACACACACACAAACACACACACACACAAAACATTGCACTTTGTTACTCATTAGGCAAATGAGCATCCTAATTTCAGACACACGCAGATTGTTTGTTTTTTTATTTGTTTGTATTTATGACCTGATATCTCACTCAGCCGCTCCCATTTTACTGATTTTATCTGTTTATTTATGACACACACAGCGTTTCCTGTGGTTCCTTTCTAGCCCTCTTCATCTTCACCATGGAGTTTCCATTATTCACCAGCATTATTACAACCACAAGAACAAAACTAAATGAAGTTTCTTGTCTTGTCCTCAGCTCCTGCCCCGCCCACGCACCTATTCTCAGTCTTCATTTGATTTCTCCATCTCTGTGAGTAGTTTGTAGTTTTGCCGCCACTGATTTTGTTACATAAATCTTAGTTTATTTTTTTCTTTTGCTCAAGCTCCTCGTTTGTCTGAAATACAAAGAGCATGTGAACTACATGTGAACTGCACATGAAACACATCGCAACTGCTCCAGATGGGTCGTATTCGTGTTTTGTTTTCCTGCCAGCTCTCTGCTGAAATTCTTCTGTTTATGAAAAAGAATAAAAAGATCTGCAGTAGTCAAATACGTGTTTTGTGTTTGTGAATAAAATGAATGCAGTTTTTGTTCAGAAACTGATTAAGATTCCTCCTCTCCTCCTCCTCAGTAACACAGAACTCTGTGTTCAACACAATCACACATTAAAAAAATTATTAATGTTCCTGTTTACAGACTGACATTCGTACAATCAAGGCTTTTGTTTAGTTATATCGGTAATAATGTGAAAGCTAATTATGCATTTAGCACTTTGGTTGGCCTTGTGCTGTTTAAAGTGCTTTATAAATAAAAGTGGCATGGTATGGTATGATTTGGYATGGTACTCATGTTTTTATCTTTGAAAGCTGCTTCATCAAACTGGCTCTGTTTTTTTATTTTAAACAGTTTTTAGATTTTAGTTATTGTTCTGTTGCCTTTAGCTACCTGTCGCGATGAGGTTGGGCTCAGGAATGCAGACTGACATGAAGGAGTCAGAAAGCAAAACTGAAAATTATTATAAACAAAAGCAGGCGTGGTAGCAAACTTACAGAACTCTGTGCTGAACTCACTGAGACACAAGAATCACAAAACATAAAAAACTCAGACAAGAGACGAGAAAAAACTCACCAAAAAGCCCTGATGCTGACATTACCATTCTGCTAATCTGAGMTTTTAGCTATTGTTCTGCTACTTTTAGCTTCTAGCTAGTCTTTTGCTAAATTTAGGTTAATACATTTAGCTTTCAGTTACTGGTTTTGTAGTTTTAAGCCAGCATTCTGCTACTTTTGATAATTAAAGTTTTTGATCTTTAGCTTTTAGCTTGTGTTTTGTTATTTTTTCTTTATGTTTGTTTTAGCTTTTCAATTAAATTAAATTCAATTCAGTTTATTGTCATACTGAAACAGGGTTGTACAGTGCAACGAAATGCTTTTATCTAGCATTTTACTTTTTGACTTTTAGCTACTGTTCTGCTTCTTTAATCTTTAATGGTTCAGTTTTATCTTCTTTAGTAAATTTTGGCTGTCATTTAGCACTCACTGTTTGCACTACATTTTTACAGAAAACAATATTTTCTCTTGTTTTATTTTAGCTGTATTTCAGCTCAGATCTTAGTTAATTCTGCAGGAATATTTAACATCACTCTGAAGTCTCTGAACACATGAGACAAGAGGAGAGAACCTCAAACATATTATGATTTCTGAAGCTAGTTTTTAAATAAATAACTTCAATTTTTTCTGATCTGTAAATGTTTTTTTAGTTGTTTTAAATCCTGCTCCACCCTTTCCCAGCCAGTCAGCTTCTTCGATGTGTATCCAAACATCACGCGTTGCTGTGAAAAGATCTCACCACCATGTGTTCAGCCAAGAAGAGCCGACACAACAGGAAGCTGTAGTTTAACCACATTCTGTCAACTGCTTGCAACTTACGAAAAACCTGACTGTTAGTTGCTCCTTTTCATTTGAATTTCATTCATCCAGATCTTACTTTGTTTTCATGATCATCTTAACTGTAAAACATTAATTAGAGAAATTACATTTTCTGTGCTGAGAGCTGAATGAGCCTAAAAAAGCATAAAAACTCAAGGGAAAAGCCAAAAAAAAATTGTAACTGAAATTTAAAAACAAGCTAAAAACTAAAAGCAGCAAAACAAAAATGTAAACTAAGCGACTTTCTAAATGAAAGCCAAAAGTAGCAACTTAAAACTAAATCTATCAAAAATAGAAAAAGGCTGTCAAAATGCTTAAGGTGAGTTAGAAGCCAAAAAAGCTGAAAAGTCTAAAGGAAGCTAAAGGCTAGCCAAAAGCTAATCTACACTCACCGGCCACTTTATTAGGTACACCACGCTAGTAACGGTTTTGTGGTCATAAAGGGATGGACATGGTCAGCAACAATACTCAGGTAGACTGTGGCGTTGCAACGATGCTCAATTGGTACCAAGGGGCCCAAAGAGTGCCAAGAAAAGATTCCCCACACCATGACACCACCACCACCAGCCTGAACCGTTGATACAAGGCAGGATGGATCCATGCTTTCATGTTGTTGACGCCAAATTCTGACCCTACCATCCGAATGTCGCAGCAGAAATCGAGACTCATCAGACCAGGCAACGTTTTTCCAATCTTCTCTTGTCCAATTTCGATGAGCTTGTGCAAATTGTAGCCTCAGTTTCCTGTTCTTAGCTGAAAGGAGTGGCACCCGGTGTGGTCTTCTGCTGCTGAAGCCCATCTGCCTCAAAGTTTGATGTACTGTGCGTTCAGAGATGCTCTTCTGCCTACCTTGGTTGTAACGGGTGGTTATTTGAGTCACTGTTGCCTTTCTATCAGCTCGAACCAGTCTGCCCATTCTCCTCTGACCTCTGGCATCAACAAGGCATTTCCGCCCACAGGACTGCCGCTCACTGGATGTTTTTTCTTTTTCGGACCATTCTCTGTAAACCCTAGAGATGGTTGTGCGTGAAAATCCCAGTAGATCAGCAGTTTCTGAAATACTCAGACCAGCCCTTCTGGCACCAACAACCATGCCACGTTCAAAGGCACTCAAATCACCTTTCTTCCCCATACTGATGCTCGGTTTGAACTGCAGGAGATTGTCTTGACCATGTCTACATGCCTAAATGCACTGAGTTGCCGCCATGTGATTGGCTGATTAGAAATTAAGTGTTAACGAGCAGTTGGACAGGTGTACCTAATAAAGTGGCCGGTGAGTGTATTTGACTGGTTAAAACAATAAGATGAAAGTTTAACGTGTCAAAAAGCTAGCTGCTAAAAGTAGTTAAAGGCTGACTAAAGGCTAAAAACTATCCATCCATCCATCCATCCATCCATCCATCCATCCATCCATCCATCATCTGTACACACTTCTTCCTTTCAGGGTCACTGGTGTCCATATCCAGCAGTCACAGTGTGAGGGGCGAGGTACACCCTGGACAGGTCACAAGTTAAAAGCTATAAAAGCCTATAAAGCTTATCTATTTTATTGGTAGTTTAAAGCTAAGTGTGAAAAAATAGCTAGTAGCTAAAAGGCTGGCTAAAGACTAAAAGTAACAAAAGGTGGCTAAAACTAGAAATATTATTGGAAATTAAAAGTTAAAAGTAGTAAACAAACAGGCACTATTAGATTGCTAGCTAATAACTAAAAGTGCCAAAAAGCTAACTAGAAGCTAAAAGTATAGCAAAAATGTTAAATGCTACAAAGCAGCAAAAAGGCTAAAGCTAAGATAAAAAAGATAAAAACAGGGTATCTGATGCAGCAGATTTCAAAGAGAACTGAATTTTTAAAGAGATTGAAGTGGATGAAATTTAATATTTGGAAAAGAATAAAGGTATAAAAGTGAAAGACATTTTTTCTTCCTACATTTATATATTCTGATTAAATACCTGGAAGTAAAGTCTGAGCACTGTTGCGGCTCTGCAGCCTGGGCCTCTTCAGCTTCTGGGTCACATTCCACAGGTACTTTTTGAAGATGGCGCCCCCGCCTCCTTTCTGTGAGGGGTCAGCAGAGGATCCCCCTGATGCTTCGGCAGCTGCTGACGATGAGGATGGAGCTGCGTTGGCTGAGCTGGAGGAAGGGGTCAGAGCTGCAAAAAGAGACCCTGGAGGCTCAGACAGGGCCCTTCTGAACGGGTTCTTCCTGGTTCCCCCTGCCCCTCTCTCAGGCTTGGGTGCCTCTGCAGTTTTCCCGCTGGATGAGCTGTTCTTGTCTCCGGGGTCCTCGCTCAGGGCCTTGCGCCAGTTTTGCATCTTGCTCCACTTGTTGCTGGAAGCCTTCTGAATCCTGTCGATGGGGGACGTGGAGGAAGTCGTTCCTCCGTCTCCATCTTCTTTATCGTTCAGCGTCCCCTTGGAGCCCGTGTGCCACTTGTACGTGTTGAGGGGGTCGGTGGTCTCAGACGTCTGAGGATGCTCGACAGGAGACTCTTTTTCTTTCTCAGAAGGTCCCTGCTCCTTCGATGGCGGCTGCACTTCCAGCTCTGAGTCTTTCTCCTCGGTGCCCATCGTTGAATTTCAGAGCGCAGATAAACTTCTCTCGATGCTGTTTTTTAATCTACCTCCACATGAGGCGTAACCTCTGTTCCTCTTGATTTACTACCTCTCTTTGGTGAAATTGTTGAGCTAAGCTCGTTTCTCGTTCTGTCTGTTCGCCTCTCTTGTATCCTGTCTTGCAAAAAAACATCATCTGGCAAACAACAGCATGAGAAAAACTGCTCTGCTGCTTTGCTGCAGGAGCCAACTCCTCTACCACACCAACTTCCTGTATGAATGTCATCGAGAAGTTCACCTGTTTACAAAAATCTTTTTCTTTGGTCCAAAACTTCCCTCCATCTCTTCCTGTTCTGCTTCTGTCTTTAAATATTTATATAAAGTAATTAAACAAAGCAAATCGTAGAAAAAGAATTGTGTTTTGCTTTTGTTAGTTCTAAAACTCAGTTTTAGTAAATTTCTACCATTCACTATTGATTTTATACAAAAAAACGATTTAACTGGTTGCATCTAATAAAATTTAAAGAGCTAAATTGTTTTTTTTTCCTGTCTGTCTGTGATATGTTTTTATTAGGTTGTTTCAGTTCGACCAGGTACATTCAGGACCTATCAAAAGAGAGCAGCTGTGTCCGTTTGGATCAGAGTGGCTCTGTGGACTGTTGACTGTTAAACTCAGTTTCCTGTGAAAGCAGCTCTGCACTTCCTGCCCCGACCTCTGTAAACCACTTCCTGCTCTCATGCTGCTCTCGGTCCGTACACACCTGCAGGATATTTCTGGGTGCCATCATAACAGCTGTAATCTGGTGGAAACCATGATCTGCTGACTGAAGATATCAAGGCAAATAACAAAAAAACATAATCACCAGGAAAACACTGAAATAACTAAAAAAAACTGGGCTGTTTCCAAATGTTTCACACATCTTATTGCATTACTTGAGAGATGCCACCAGCTGGAGACAAATGACACATAATGATGTGATGGTTTGATTCGTTCTCCTCCACCAGATGGCAACAAATCATCCAACAAACCAGCTGTCAGACAAAACAACATGCAGTTTTACTAAGAAAATCCTCAAAAGCTTCAACGAGCTGCCAACAGATGTAGTATAAAAACTTGTTGTAGCATCTTCACATTCTTAGCCAGTTTAGGACCACTTCTGTTCCCTGATGTTCTTTCCTTCTTCCATGGTAGAGAGGTTGTCCTCAGTCTGAAGACCCACAGCATGTCCAAATGTCCCTCAACAAGGTTCTGAACTTCCACTGATTGGTGCATGAGTAAAAGTGCTGCAAATGGAGATTAAAATATGAAAAGCTCTGTATGAAGGTGACTTGTAAAGCACTTTGTAAAACCTCGAATAAGGTTAAAAGGCACCAAATGTGGATCATTGCCCATAAAAATTTTAAATATGCATGTTTTTAGATTATGGGAGGAAAGTGTAACACTGAACTGAGACGTGAAACTTCTCATAACTCCGAACATGAACCCAAGAAATGCAGACGGACTCAAGGAGCTCTAATACAAAGAAACTTTATTGTAACAGAGCTGACATGGCAGCAGACAGGGCAGATTCAGATCGATTCAGGGCAGATTTAGAGAAGATTCAGATTTAGAGCAGACTCAGGGCAGATTGAGATCAGATTGAGATCAGATTCAGGGCAGATTTAGGGCAGATTCAGGGCAGGGTCGGGTCAGATCAGATCCTGGGCAGATTCAGATCAGATTCAGGGCAGATTTAGGGCAGATTCAGGGCAGGTCGGGTCAGATCAGATCCAGGGCAGATTCAGTTCAGATCCAGGGCAGATTTAGGGCAGATTCAGGGCAGGTCGGGTCAGATCAGATCCAGGGCAGATTTAGAAGCAGATTCTGGGCTGATTCAAATCTGATTCAGGGTAGATTTAGAGCAGATTCAGGGCAGATTTAGGACAGATTTAAAGCAGATTTAGAGTACAGTAGATTCATAGCAGATTCAGGGCAGATTTAGGGCAGATTCAGGGCAGATTTGGGGCAGATTTAGAGCAGATTTAGGGCAGATTTAGAGCAGATTTAGAGCAGATTCAGGGCAGATTTAGGGCAGATTTAGGGCAGATTTAGGGCAGATTCAGGGCAGATTCATAGCAGATTCAGGGCAGATTTAGGGCAGATTCAGGGCAGATTTGGGGCAGATTTAGAGCAGATTTAGAGCAGATTCAGGGCAGATTTGGGGCAGATTCAGGGCAGATTTAGGGCATATTTAGAGCAGATTTAGGGCAGATTTAGAGCCGATTTTGAGCAGATTCAGGGCAGATTTAGGGCAGATTTAGAGCAGATTCATAGCAGATTCAGGGCAGATTTAGGGCAGATTCAGGGCAGATTTGGGGCAGATTTAG